TAATGTGCCCTTTTGTTCATTCTGGGCTGGCGGAAGTGATGTGACGTTCCAAACCGCACGTCACTTCCGCCCTTATTATACAGCAAAAAGCCTTCTCTCCATGGCGGAAGTGATGCTGCATTCCAAACCGCATGACACTTCCGCCCTTATTGTGCAGCAGCAGCCCCCTCTCCGTGTTAAAGGGGAGGTCCTTGTGCTGATCAGGGGGTGGCCATGACGACGTCACAAACTAGTGCTCGTCAGACCAAACCGCCTGTAGACGTGCCAGGACCTAAAAAAAAAAAACATGTTGGAAATTGGCATATGGGAGGAATAAAGATATAAAGAGATGGGCATGTTATATAAAAATGGTAAAAGAGTAAAACATCTTTTAAGTATTCACTGGTCTTAGGACACATAGTGGAATAATAACAGCAGAACTCACATGGGGAGAGGGAAAAAAAAGAGACATACATAGAGAGAAACATGATTAAACCTGGTGTGCACTTAGACACAATTTGACTTAGCAATAGGTACAATTTTGCATAGATGGTGTATCTTATTGGTGGGGATGTGGAGGGAATAAAATCCTGATTTTTTTTTTTTTTTTTATATATTTTTAAATATACAATATATATAAACATATATATATATAAAAAAAAAAAAACGATTTGTAAGTGCCCCATATATAAAGTGTTGGGTATAAGGGCGTAAATGGATAAAATAAAAAATAAAAAATCTGAATATCAGTTAAATTTAGAAGAGATTATTTTTAAAGTAATTATTTTAAAATAATTATTTTTAACAGTAGATGTTGGGAAAGCCTTTAAAAATGTAATAAAAAAAGTGAAAGATAAATTAAAAATAAGTATAAATACATAAAATATGGACAGCAGGTTAAAAAGAGTGGATAAAAGGGGGGGAGGTAGACTAATTCTAAAGAAAATGGCATAATTCAAAATCAATGTTTAAACCGTGAGGTCGTAAGGTACCAAAATTAAAAATCCACCTCATCTTACTTTGGCCCAAAATTTTGTTAAAATCACCTCCTTTACAGTTTTTCTACCACTTTTGGAATACCCATAAATTGGAGTCCTTTGGGATTGCTGTTGTGTGAGGTTTTAAAGGTTTGAATCATCATGGAGGGCCTCATTACCTATCACCGCTACATAGATAACCTGTTTTTTATTTGGGAAGGCACTGAACTATCCTTTTTTTTTTATTTTATTGATACATTAAATACAAATGACTGGGGGATTATTTTAACTACCAATTTTAGCAAGAGTGAAGTTAATTTTTTAGATTTAGATATTTTCATTGAAGAGAATAGAATTAAAACAAGTATACATTTAAAAAAAGTAGATGTTAACAGTTTTATTCACACTACGAGTTGTCATTTTATACCCTGGCTCAATACAATTCCAAAATCACAGTTTATTTGCATCAGACGCAACTGCACAGAGGAGAATACATTTATTGAACAGGCACACAAATTGAAAGACAAATTGCTAGAAAAAGGATATAAGGAAGAAAATCTAACCAATGACCCTGATCAAGTTCTAAAAACTAAAAGGGAAACTCTATTAGAAAATAAAGAAGCAAAGAAAGCAAATTGGAACTGAACAAAAATTTACCAATTATATGTGAATACAGCCAGGGTAATCAACAATTAAGAAAGTTTATCAATAAACACTGGCCAATTTTAAGAGAAGATCCCATTTTAGCTAGTATTTTACCAGATAAATCTAAAATAATTTTTAGGCGTGCACCAAATATGAAAAGAATTATTAGTGAAAAATCACATTAAAAAAGAATGCAAAGCAGGAATGGTTTCTTTGCATGTGGCATGTGTATAGCATGTAGGAATACCGATAGTAAAAAAAGACATAAGAAAATGTAATATTACGCAAAATAATGAAGAATACACCATTAAAAACCTTATCACATATCACTCAATCAACGTGATCTATCTACAAGAATGCCCGTGCAGCCAAAAATATGTAGGACGAACCAAAAAAAATTTACATACAAGGGTGGAAGAACATGTAAGGCATATTAAAAAAGGATATGACGGACATAGCGTGTCACACCACAACAATCCCAAAGGACTCCAATTTATGGGTATTCAAAAAGTGGTAGTAAACTGGAGATGAGGTGATTTTAACAAAATTTTGGGCCAAAATGAGATGAGGTGGGTTTTTAATCTTGGTACCTTACGACCTCACGGTTTAAGCATTGATTTCGAATTATGCCATTTTCTTTAGAATTAGTCTACCTCCCCCCTTGTATCCACTCTTTTTTAACCTGCTGTCCATATTTTATGTATCTTTGCTTATTTTTTATCTTTCACATTTTTTCTTCAATTCTTAAAGGCTTTCCCGACATCTACTGTTAAAAATAATTATTTTAAAATAATTACTTTAAAAATAATCTCTCTCTTCTGAATTTAACTAATATTCAGATTTTTTCAATTTTATCCATTTACGACCTTTTACCCAACACTTTATATATGGGGCACTTACAAATAGTTCTATATATATATATATATATATATATATATTGTATATTTAAAAATATAAAAAAAATTGTATCTATGCAAAATTGTACCTATTGCTAAATCAAATTGTGTCTAAATGCACACCAGGTTTAATCATATTTCTCTCTATGTATGTCTGTCTTTTTTTCTCCCTCTCTCCCCATATGAGTTCTGCTGTTGTTATTAGAGTTGAGCGGACACCTGGATGTCAGGGCTTACCTGAGTTGGGAGTCCAGCAGGCAGAGATATATGCTCACCCTTGCAAGTAAACACAGACCGAGGTGGTCAGCTAAGAAATCACCTGGCCTGTGAGTCGTGCACGGGGGCTGTGCAGGATAATACTCCAAATCGCAGTACAGGGACGGATAAAGCAGGATAATCATCGTGGGTAAACCAGAGGTCAGAGGATGCCAGAAATCAGAATAAACGATACAACAAGCCAAGGCCAAGCGTAAACTGGAGAACACGAAACAGCAGTATGATCACCAGAGTCAAGGAACTGACACTGCCTTCTGGGAGAGGCAGTGTTTTATACCTGGCTAACGAAACCATCAACATCAGGTGTACCCAGGGACGGATCTTACACGAGGCAAACAAGGCATCTGCCTTGGGCGGCACTTTGCAGGGAGTGGCAAAAAACCCCACCCCCAAATGCCCAGGCAGATCCCTTGCTTGCCTCGTGTCCAGGGGGGCTCAAGAGCTGGCCAGCTGACCACTTTTGAGCCCCCCCCAAGGCTGGTAGCGGGCAGCGAAGGAGCATACTCACATGAGCTCTTTCTGCTCAGCTCCCTCCGTGCTGCTTAATGAAGCCAGGTGCCGGAATATGACATCAGACCAGCTCCCAGCATCACTAAGCGGCGCACGAGGGAGCTAAGCAGGAAAATCAGATCTCCCTCATTGCCTACTCTGCCTGCCTGAACAGAAGCCCTACTGGACAGGTAAGTAATCCACTCCAGCTCTCCCAGAGAGGCTGGGTGGATATAAATTTTATTTTTTTTAAATTGTGAGTGTTGGTGGTAATCTCTGTGTGTTTGTGTCTGTAAGTGTGTATCTAAGTGAATGTGTGTGTGTCTGTGAGTGAATGTGTGTGTGGTGGGTCAGTGAGTTTTTTTTGTCTGTCAGTGTGTGTCTGTCTATTAGTGTGTCAAATCAGTGAGTGTGTGTGTTTGTCATTGTTTGTCAGTGCATATGAGAGTGTGTGTCTGTCAATGAGTGTATGCATCTATCAGTGAGTATGTGCGTCTGTCAGTCAAAGTGCGTCCTTGACTGGAAAGGGTGGGGGAAATTTAAATCAAGGAGGGGGGGTGCCCAAGCACTGTCCTGCCTAGGGCAGCACAAATCCTAAATACACCACTGGGTGTACCATGAGACACAGGAGAAACTTACAAGACAGAGCTGGATACTGGCATTACTAAAGCTGAATGGTGGCACAGAGGTAACATAGCAGCCCCAGGACTGCAAAGTACCCAGGTTCAAATCTGCTGCTGGGCACTCCTGGGGCAACATCATTTGATACTCCGGGAAGTTACGGTGGGTTTGGACAAACTTTGAAAAAAAAGTTCTTGACCCGAACCTCATTGAAGTCAATGGGGACCTGAACTTTTAGGCACAAAAATGCCTTTAAAAAAAGCACTGGAAAGGGCTAGAGGGCTGCAAAAGGAAGTAAAATGGGGGTAAGAGTAGCACAAATGGCGTGAAAACAAATGTGGATAGGGAATTCACTTAAAATAACATTAAATACCTAAAAATTAAAAATACAGCTGAGGCATAAGATGGAATCTTTGATTTTAGCTTTGGAAGAACATAAATCAAAATCTAAAGCATGGCTGACAAGAGGATCACCAGAATTATCAATTTGAGAGAGGGTTGGAGTGCAGGGTATTATCTTTCATTGTTCAAACTGAGCTAAACTCCTGATGCATGGAGAAAAGGCCTCTGCTATTGTGTACATAGTTTATACTAAGTGACCCATAGGTTGAGAAGGCCTTGGTGACCGGGGCGGTGTAGGTGGAAGTGGCAGTGGAGGAGGAGGTAGCCAACACTGTTTTTTATTTATTGGCTACCTCCTATATTAAGGAGGGAGCAGAGGGCGCCAGGAAGCACAACCACCCTGGCCCACAAGCTACCATACAATGCCTTCAAACACTTCAAGGAAGCAGAAGAAGGCTTTGATTACTTTTTACAAGACTTTGAGCGCCAGTGCCTACTCCAAGAGGTGGACCCCAGCGACTGGGTCACCATCCTGGCCAGCACACTAGTGGGGAAGGCATTGGATATTTACCGGGCTGTACCAGAAGAGCGGATCAGAGACTATCCCTTTATTACCCAAATCCTCCTGGCCTGGTATGCGGTCACCCCTGAGCAATACCACCAAAAGTTTAGGGAGACCCAGAAAGGGGAGAAGGACTCCCATGCGGAGTGGGCATGCCACATTACAAGGGCGACCCAGAACTGGCTCAACTCCCATCAAACCAAGTTCCAAGAGGAGATCTCCCAGCTCGTCATGGTAGAGCACATTTTAAATGGGTTCCCCAACGACAAGGCGATGACGCATTCGTATGTCATCCATATCAACTTTCAATGCCATTTACTGCGCCTACCATGGTGACCACGGGTAACGGGGAATCAGGGTTCGATTCCTGAGAGGGAGTCTGAGAAACGGCTACCACATGAAAGCAAGGCAGCAGGCGCGCAAATGACCCACTCCTGACGCATGAAGGTAGTGACGACAAATAACAATACAGGACTGTCTAGGGGCCCTGTAATTGTAATGAGTGTAACGGCTACCCAGGTAGTAAGAGGGTATCAGTCCCGAAAGGCTTGCCATCCATGTGTAACTCGATGTTCTCCAGAATCCCCATAAGTCTTTCTACCGAACGGCAGGGTGTTCGGTAGTTTTGGCACGAATCTCCGGTGCTATGGAGGTCTCAGCGGTGTTCGCCTACTCGAGTGTCAGATTTTAGTTCCAGACACTCGACGGCAAAACACTTCTGTTCGGGAGTTAAGATGGCCGCGACCACGTGTAATAGTCCCGAAATGGCAGCCACCCAGGCACTTCACAAAGCGTTCGTAGGTTTCCTATTGTCAGGTATAGCCTGACATGCATTCCGCCGTAGGAACCCACTTCCGGGTTCACGGCGCTTAGCCCCACCCCTTTTTTCTGACGCGGTCCTTCCACATAGGAAGACCGCGCCAGATTCAAAGGGCTGGATTATTTGCACAGGTGCCTGCAAAGTGATCAGCTGATTTACCTTGATCCTGCTTCTATCAGACCTCGGCTTGCTAAAACGGACTTCTACCTTCTCCACTTCCATACCACGGCTTGCTTAAACGGACTTCTCCCTTCTCCACTCCTAGACCTCGGCTTGCTAAAACGGACTTCTACCTTCTCCACTTCCATACCACGGCTTGCTAAAACGGACTTCTACCTTCTCCACTTCCATAACACGGCTTGCTTAAACGGACTTCTCCCTTCTCCACTCCTAGACCTCGGCTTGCTAAAACGGACTTCTACCTTCTCCACTTCCATACCACGGCTTGCTAAAACGGACTTCTACCTTCTCCACTCCTAGACCTCGGCTTGCTAAAACGGACTTCTAATTTCTCCTCCATTGGGTGTAATTAACCCCTCCAGTTCCAGAACTGCCTTTTAAGTTAAGTAACTTTTTTTCTCCAAACAAGCCACTTATGTTATTAATATTACACAGTATCTAAAAGTTCTACTGTGTCATTCTGTCAAGTTATTCCTATTATTCATAAGGGATTGCTACTAAGGTTAATTCTCCCTCCAATAATCAAATTATTACTAATTACAACTCTGTCCTGCTTCATTAATAATTTTCTCATAAATTATTCCATCTTAATTAAGTTGGAAACTAACGCTGCCTATTTTTCTGCACTATTTCTAATGGGAATTAAGTGGCTTGTGTAAATCATCATTGACTTATACTTCTATCACAATTAACTTCTACATGAGTATTTAAAGATACAGCAACCACTGTTTCATATCAATATAAAAGGAGGTGAAACTTATAGTTAATGCAATTAGAAAATTCTGCAGTTGAGTTCCAATTAAAATAAATATTACACCTATGAAGACTGTATTCGCGGATCAGGGAGGTAAATTACCCATAATTAGGTAGCAGGGTGGTCCGGTGTTCGGTAGTTTACATTCGTATGATGAATGCTTTAAAAGTCCCGAACTGCTGTATAGCAAAATCCCCACGAAAGCAGGTAAGGATCTTCAATTTGTTACAATGAGTCCACTTGAAATCCTTTAACTCTGATCAACTGGAGGGCAAGTCTGGTGCAGAGCGACTGACCCGTGCGTGCTGTAGCTGAAACTCCGCTTTCACCTGCTGCTGCTCGCACAATCTCATTACGCGGTGAGCGGGAAGGCCGAAGTTACTCTACAGCGCAGACAGGCGAGCAGCAGCAGGAGATGAGGAGGTAGTGCGCAAGGAGGTGTAACGGCGCCTGGCATATTACCGAGAGCCACCCTCAGAGGAGATTGTCAGCAGGACCTTTTTGGAGGTGCAAGCCTATGCCCTTGCCAATAGACAGAGGGCGACCTCCATGAACCCAGATGAAGGAAGAAGGGAGCAGAGGGCGCTGGGAAGCACAACCACACTGGCCCACAAGCTACCATACAATACAGAGGCCCTGTAATTGTAATGAGTCCCCTTGAAATCCTTTAACTCTGATCAATTGGAGGGCAAGTCTGGTGCAGAGCGACTGACCCATGCGTGCTGGAGTTGAAACTCCACTATCGCCTGCTGCTCGCACAGTCTCTCCAGCATGTGCAAGGGGGAGTTCCACCTTGTGGGCACGTCGCATATGAGGCGGTAAGCGGGAAGGACAAAGTTACGCTGCAGTGCAGACAGGCGAGCAGCAGCAGGGTGAGAACGCCAAAAGCGCGCACAGCCGCTACAGTGAATGTCACATCCTGTTCCAAGTTGCTGATCAGTCTGGTGATGGCTTCTGGTATCCAGTACTCTTTTTACTGAAGCTGCGTCAGGGTCCTAGTATGTGGCCGCACAAACGCTGGTGCTCAACACCAGGGGGCGTGCAGTTACCCTGCACCAGACCCTGCTAATCCATTCCACACTGTGACTCCTAACTTCAACGTCAGGCATACTGGGTCCCAGTCATCCGACCGCCGCCCAGACAGTGTCTGGGTCCCGGTCACCGGACTGTGAAACTGCGAATGGCTCGTTAAATCTGTTATGGTTTTTTTTATCGCTCCATCTGTTACTTGGATAACTGTGCATGCCGACGGGCGCTAGGGGACGGCCACTCCGCTTCTGCAACCTGCTCCCTCTTATGCTGTGCTAGTGCCTCTGTGCGACCAGCGCCTCTTCCTCCAAACTGTACACGTCACTCGCATGACCTTGATTCCATGTGGGGTCTAGGACCTCATCATCCTCCACATCATCTTCCACCCACTCCTCAACCCTGCCCTCCTTGCCGGTCTGCACACTGCAGAAAGCCACAGCAGTTGGCATCTGTTTTTCCAGCATGTAAAGTCTGCAAAGGACATATGGAAATTGTTTTAGAATTGTATCCAGGCAACTGTTTTCCCTATAAACTGACCTCTAAGTTTGACTTGTGAGGATATTGCCCCCGAATTACAATATTGTTATATTGGTATTTGACGCTTCTATTTGACTCTCAGATATGACTATTTGACTCCGCAGGCCACAAATGTACTATTTAGCAGCCAAAAAATTTTAATATTTAGAAATGCAATGTTACAGCACTATTTGACGGTTCTATTTGACTCTCAGATATGAAGCACGCCCCAAATGTACTATTTAGCAGTTTAGCAGAAAAACAATTAGAATTTTTACAACTGCACTGTATGCGCACTAGTTGACAGTTCTATTTGACTCTCAGATATGAAGAGCACCCCACTAATGTACTTTTTAGTACCCCCAAAAACTAAGTTTTAAAACTTCAATGTGACAGCAGTATTTGATACTTCTATTTGACTCTCAGATATGAAGAGCAAGCCCAAAATTTACTATTTAGCAGTTTAGCAGCAAAACAATTAGAATTTTTACAACTGCGCTGTATGCGCACTAGTTGACGCTTCTATTTGACTCTCAGATATGAAGAGCACACCCAGAATGTACTATTTAGCAGTTTAGCAGCAAAACAATTAGAAAGTTTACAACTGCGCTGTAAGCGCACTATTTGCTGCTTCTATTTGACTCAGATATGAAGAGCACGCCCAAAATGTACTATTTAGCAGATTAGCACCCACAAAATAAGAATGTTTCAAACTGCGCTGTAAGCGCAGTATTTGACGCTTCTATTTGAATCTCAGATATGAAGAGCACGCCCAATATGTACTGTTTAGCAGCAAAACAATTAGAATTTTTACAACTGCGCTGTAAGCGCACTATTTGATGCTTCTATTTGACTTTCAGATATGAAGTGCACCCCACTAGTGCACTTTTTAGCACCCAAAAAAATTTAAGTTTTAAAACTGCAATGTTACAGCAGTATTTGACGCTTCTATTTGACTCTCAGATATGAAGTGCACCCCACTAATGTACTAGTTTGCAGAATTCTTTCCTAATCTGTCCCTGAAAGCGGCAGCATCCTCTCCCTACACTAATAAGAGCTCATGTGACATGCGGCGTTATGAGACTCCAGCTTATTTATAGAGGCTGGGTCACATGCTGCACTGGCCAATCTCAGCCATGCCATTAGTAGGCATGGCTGTGATGGCTTCTAAGGGCACACAAGTCAAACGCTTGTTGATTGGCTGCCCTGCAGCCTTTCAAAACGTGCCATTAAATCGCTGAACACTGAAATCCAACCCGAACATACAGTCCGGGTTCGCTCAACTCTAGTTATTATTCCACTATGTGTTCTAAGACCAGTGAATACGTAAAAATATTTTTTACTCTTTTAACATTTTTATATAACTTGCCCATCCCTTTCTATCTTTATTTATCCCATATGACCATTTCCAATATGAGGTTTTTTTAAGGTCCTGGCACGTCCAGAGGGGGTTTGGGCTGACGCACGCTTGTTCGTGACGTCATCGCGGCCACCCCCTGATCGGCACAAGGACCTCCCCTTTAACACGAAGAGGGGGCTGCTGCTGCACAATAAGGGCGGAAGTGGCATGTGGTTCTGAATGCAACGTCACTTCCGCCATAGGAGAGGAGGCTTTTTGCTGTATAATAAGGGTGAAAGTGATGTGTGGTTTGGAATGCCGCGTCACTTCCGCCAGCCCGGAATGGACAAAAGGGTACATTAACAACCCCACTGTCCACCAATTACCCATCTAGTTTTGAGTATCTATTTTCTGTGATGGAGGGCGGATGTGGCGAACGGTGCCATTTTCGCCAACCACCGACCCTTTTTTTTTTTCAAACATCTCTGAACCACCAATGATATGGTCAGTTACAAATTAAACAGGAGTGTTAAAAGTAAATTAACAAATGGGAGCCCCCAACACCAGGTGTAACCAGGCTACACTAATGTCTATTGAAAACCTACATCTATGATTGGACAATAGTACATCATGTGACCTTAAAGAGGAAGTAATGGAACATTTAAAAAGCAAGAAATCCCTGAGGCTACATTACAACTGACTGAGGGAGCTCACAGACTAGTAAAACGCGTTTTGGCGGATTTAGACTTTTATTTGGACTCTTATTTATAATTTTATACTCAAAATTTCTGGTTTTAAATTCACTTTTTATT